CGCGTCGCGAGGCATGTGTGAATGGTGTGCACATCGACGCTCGCGTTTAGTGCCTGCTGGCGCAGGCGCATGATTGAAGTATGGCGGGGCGGGCCTACGATTGTTTCAGCGTCCATCCGGTACTAATCACTACTAACATGTATGCCGGGGAGGGTTGGCATTGCTCGGCTGATGAGATGAGCGACAGCAAAAGCTCTTTCGGCGAATTGACAAAAGAGAGGCTACAATCGGTGATATACACACACGAGGCCACAGGAACGCCATGGAGGAAAATATACGTTGTGAATTTCATTTAGGATTTTCATGGATTACCGGTTGTATATCCGTGACGGGTCGATTGTTCCTACGCGGTCTACGTAGGCACGCCCGCAGGCAACGCACGCACGCCGCACACATGACGCGCGCAGGCACACCGCAAGCACGCCCGCCCGCAAGCACACCGCACACAGCAGGCACGCACACGCACGCCACGCACGCCGCCGCGCCGCACACACGCAAGCACGCGCGCCACCCGGCACGCACGCTCACGCGCCGCAGCACACGTAAGCACCGCGACAGGCACACAGCTTATATACGCGGTGGCGGCGGCAGCGCGCGTATGATTGAAATGCAATACAGTACAGTACACACATGATGCTGAATGATAAAACTGACAGCTCAAACGTAACCAGAAGAATTCTAGCCGCGCACCGTTGGACAACCGGCTGGCGGCTAGCGCAGGAGACCCGGCGAGGATCGGCAGGTGCGCAGGCACCTCCTCCGCCCTCATCCCGGCGGATCCCCTGGACAAATTCGATTTTCCAGCGCACCTCCCTTCACCTCTTGTCGCGGACTTGCTTTGCGCCTTGCCTCGTATCCCCTTTCCCCTCACCCCCCTGGTGACTGCCCGATTCGCGACAGCCCTATTTGAAAATCAAAAGCGCAGCTACTAACCACACTGTCCTCCACGGCGGCGCTTCGCGCTCACGCCTGGCGCACCACCCGGCCTCGCCGCTTTCTGCGCTCTCGCTCCGCGGATCTCCCATCCGAGAGTATGGCCGACATTTCGCACGCACCCAACTCGCGCCGAGCCCACTAACCACTATTTCTCGCTTATCTTCACCTACACTCTTTACAACTCGGACTCGAGCACTCACTCTCCTTCTCATACTGTCACCCCCTTCGCCACCGGCCCCCTCCCGCCCCCCCCCCCCGCCCCGCCCCCACCATAGAAAACCTTCCCCGCTAATCATAATGTCATTAGTATACAACTGTCGACACGCATATCCAGCTCGCAGGCATAACTATAAATTTCTCACCCTGGTTCAATCAATTTCGGCGGGCGAAATCGCACGCCCGCCCGCCCGTGATTTTCCCCTGCCCCCGCTTCCCCCAACTGCTATTCTCACTTATGAGAGCGACCACTGCTCGCCTCCTCCACATACTCGTTCCACCTGATCGGACCGGCAAAACCCCCAGTTCAGCAGTGCATTTATGGAACTCAACGCGGTTAAATAAAAATAAGACAAGATAGATCTATTATCTACACGAATTTGAACTGTATTTTAATGAAGTTAAATATCATCATGATATCGACGTTAAGCTTAACTTTGTAATGCGTGCGCTCGCACGCCGCGTACCTGTTAGTCGCGGCCGGAGGTATCCAGGAACACCGTAAACCACTTGCCACTACATTTGCACACGATCGTGTCATGAATTAAGACTAAACTCAGCACGCACACACCTCCTCTTTCAGCATGTTTGATTATGTATCCTCAGCCTTCCTACGCTGCATTATTGCGTGCAATTGCACGACTACACTGATCCAGTAACATGGCCGTGGGTTGCCCTCCTGCCTGCCATCGGTGCTTCGAAATAATGGATGACGTCCAGAGAATCCTGTTGCCTGGCTGCCATTACCTTCACGACGGCTTTATCCTTAAGTGAACTTCTAAAGATGTTCCCGTTTTTATGTTAATCTTGTTGTATACGGCGTAATAATTGCAAAAAGTCAGTTTCTTAGGAACCTTCTTCAAAGGAAACGTTTGCGCTTGTTGCCCATCCCAAGCCTACATTAAAACGACAACACAACACTTGGCCCTCGTTTATCTCTCTCTCTTTTGTCTCTCTCTTCTCTATCTCTCTCTCTCTCTCTCTCTCTCTCTTCCTGTCTCTCCCTTTATCTCCCCCCGCTGCCCCTCTCTCTCTTCTTCCTGTCTTTCTGTCCTCTCCCTTTATTGCCTCCCTCCTGCCCCTCTATCTCTCCTTCTTCTCTTGTCTTCTTTCTGTCTGTTCTGTCGCTGTCTTCTCCCTAGCTCCCCTTCACTCCCTCTCCTGCACTTCTCTCTCTCTCTCCCTCCCTCTCTCTTCTCTCTTCACCCTCTCTCTCACTCTCTCATAATACAACAACGAGAAACTCCCCTTCTCTCACGGCCCCCCCTCGCCCCCGCCTTCCCTCCCCCATTTTTCGTACCACCTGCCGCAGGTAATAGCGCCCATTTCATCGAGGGCGCCCATCTCG